CCGAAAAGGGAAGCGATTAAAAGAATAACGAACCAGGGACTTTTAAATTTTCAGAACCCACATTTCAGTGCAAAATGTGACCTCGTGTGCGTGCCAGTCCATGTGTTACTTTAAAAATGTGTTCAGCGATGTCCTTTCAAGGAGAGCTGCGCTAACGGCCGCCAAAGTATCTAAAGATAAGATCAGAACAAAAATAAACGATAGACTGATACAAGGAGTTCAAAAACACGAGTCAGTAGGCAACCCTTCAACCGAGTAAAGCTGTGACAATGACGAAATCAAATTAATTTTAAGTCTTTTTAATCCCAATGATACGGTACTTGAAACGAATTTTTTTTGGCAAGAGTGTATAGTTATGTTTCGTGACGAGATTATCGGAATCACTAGCAGAAATTTGATGCTAGCAAATGTACCTTCGCCTCATTCAGTTTCCTTACACAAAGATCTGCCGCTCAATTAGTATGCGAGGTTGCCGTGTTGCCAAATGTGTTTAAATAAACATTGAAGTATCTTACTTCTACGCGTTTTAAACTCTGTGTCTTAAGAACAAATCTACGGGCCTAAAATAAGAGGAATATTGCAGATGGAAAGGAGAAATGAACTTGTTTTAACTTGGAACCACATTGCTGATAGTTACACTGAATGTTTCTTTACTTTTCTCGCAGGAATTATGAATTATTAAGCGAAGCAAGCTGAAGACAGTTTCCACGCTTTACAAGTACATAACAAGTGAGCGCAAAAGAAATCCAGAATTTTGTACAAAACGAAATAAAGAAAACTATTTCCATGCTTGACTGATTGTAAGTTTAAGTTGAATTAACTTATTGGGAGCTATTAACAGATACAAGGATATCAAACCAGCCTGACTTCTAAGTCATGCACTTTTTTTATTAGATTACATGGTTTAACCCATTCAATTCTACAAAACGCGAAAAAAAAACATTCTATTCCAATTCTTGGAGAAGGATACTTTTCAAGTAGTTTTCATGCTGTAAGGGTTGAAATCCTTCCAAGTGCATTTAATCATCCTAATTGGCATTGCTGAATCAACTCCCACGTTTGAAATTAAGGGGCTCCTATACTAAATAAAATGGCTACTTGAAACAATTTTCAACAGCCAAAATTCACTTCATCTGCTATCTCGATGCACGTGCCACGAACAATACTCACACACGCGGCCTCTGAAAAACGGCTTCCACATACTGGCAATTAAGCTGGATTGATAAGATAAGCTAATTAAGTCACTGAAATTAAGAAACGAACCAAGCATTGCTACTAGCTATATTAATTTTCTCAAAAATCAGCGCCTTGTATTCAGGCTATGATTCTGATCAAAACAGAAGCAGTGTGTTTAATCAAAGTTCTTCTTACTGTCTGTGGGATGTGAAGAATCCACATTGATCGCTGGGGGGAAGTTTCAAGGTTGTACTTTATTAAACAAGTTCACAATTCGCGGGAAAATCCGCGTGGCCAGGTTGAATGTTTACATGAGCCTTTGTCAAACGCAATCTAATTACTCTATTACCCTACACGTCCAGAAATTAATCTATGTAAATATTTACCCTCCAAAGTGTTCTCATTCTGTGGCCCCATTGAAAACATGTAGTTCGACTCGACGGAAAACAATTCGCCTGATTCTTTCTTTATACTTAAAAGGTGTTGTTGGTGATCTTTTGTTAGACGACCGAGCACAGCTCTTTAAAACTTCGCGTACGACTCAATTCCAACGATTTCGTGCCTAGCTAAGAATTTCGAGAAAAGGTCGCTATTTAAATGTTATCTCGTAATTTGGGCGCCCTTCGCGGTGATTTGCCGTAAATAATCACTCGTAATAAGATTAATTTTGCTTGTTATAGCACACGTACATCAGCTGCTTTTAAACTGCTTTTGTTTGCTTTTTCTAAATTTAAAATGTCTTTTCTGTGATTCAAAAATTGCCCATATTCACGCACGTTATCAAACATTGTCAGAACTTTTTACGTCAGAACCAATCGCAGAATTTTCCAGCTTACGAAATGATATCAGTATTTTGGTGGCTGAATAAGAAGTATTTGCTTATTCGCGCCCAACAGAGCCTCATTAAAACTGCATTGCTCCCGCAATTAAAAAAATATCGTGTTCTGTTTCCTTTGATAAAGTATCGACTGAAATGAGGTGGACACGCGACCAGAAAAAATGCGCTTTGTCTCAATGTGCGAAACTGACTGAAATGTTTAATTAGCTATTGGGAATTCAATGGGGTTCCTGAAATTCACCTGCCAATCATCCTTAAAGAGCATCTTGTTGAGAACCCATGCCACGCGACAACCCACGCGCGACCTCTTCACCCCGCCAGGTGTTTGCGGCCGCACTCAATAATTGTACTAAACTTGTTTTTTCTTAGTTCTGCTAAATACCTACTTTCATAAGAGATTTTAATTGGATGAAAATGAACTTACCGTGTGCCAAATTCGATTTTGATTTCAAAGGCGCGTGCAGATTGGTGTGCGTTTATCTAATCGAGTCGCCGTTTTATTGAATCTTTTCCTAAAGAGTGTTAAGCTTTCATCTCAATTAGCTCGGTTCACTTGGACTAGACTCGAACAATAAAAGACGCTTGATTTCTTATTTTCTGCAGAACTTCTTTGTTTGTAGTTGAAATGATTTTGTGAAAGATTTCCATGCGATTTTCCATTTCTTAAAAGTTTCATCGCCTTGCTTCTATGTTCCACGTGGGCCAGGCTCCCTAGGACAAACAAAAATTGCTCGACAATACTGCAATTTAACTCTAAATTCCTGGCTTTGTTCGATGGCGATTTGTTTGAATGCAATTTCAATTAGACAAAGGCTTCGCAACAGAGTGGAAATCATACTTAGAAAAACCTCGGTCCCTGGAACTCGATCAAAAACGTGTGACTCGATTGTTTAGTTCTTTTTGAAGTGATTCCGGATAAATTGAGATGAAAAACGCTTTTCAAAGAGTAAACCCCCACTGCATCGGAATAAAAGCAAAATTCAATGGTATTTAACGTGATCGCAGCCTACAGGGAAATTGTTTGCTGGTAAACTAAGCTTTTTTAATTTTAAACGCGTGCAAAGTGGTATAAAGCACAGTGGGTGATTTTTGGTCGCATTTACTTCGGCGCCATGTTTAGCATTGGACCAGAAGTAATCTGCACGCGTGCCAAAACAATTTAAGGGTTTTCTGCTAATTTTGCGTTCCCTTTGTGCACAGAGTTTAAGCGGTTCCGGGTACAAAAAAGAAAACGTTCAGAAACGCTTGGCTATGTTTGAAGTGCGATGCAACACCATTGAAATCCTCGAGTAAGCGTGGTATTTATTATCATTTCATTGTCAAGTTAGACAATTTCATTTACATAACAAAACAGTCGAAGTCCCGGCACACGCGGCCATGCTTTTGTGTTTTGATGCACGCGGATTTATGTGACAATCTCTGTCAAAGTCATAATGATCAGGATAACCTATTTACTTCAACAAGTTTATAAGAGTTCGTTCGCACAAATGGAACAAAAAAATCTTTACCTCATTTCGCTAATGCAATTAAACTTTGAAAATGATTAAAAACTTATTAAATAGCTTTCGAATGGCTTCCTGCGTAGTAGAGTCTTTGCGATTGGCGCGCTGCACTGCTTTCGAACACCTTATAAACTTCAGAGATTTTGCATCGATAGTGAACAAAATTTGGCAAAACTTGCCAAGGAGACCTAAATAACTGACACCTGGACTATCCATATATTACAATACAGTATTATGGAGTAACTGGTGATTATCCTGTACCAATAGAAAAGCGACATACACTTCTATTTCTGTTGTACAACACATAATACTCAATTAGTATTTTATTTTTCGGCCTTTCAAACGACGATAAAATATTTATGTCGGCCTGTGTTCGATATCGCAATTATACAACTATTTTCAGACAAGCCGGCGACGCAGAAACACTCAACTCGCATTGGCTACAACATTCTTTTTCACGGAGTTCTAAGGTGCTATGTTCGCCTGCGATAACAAACTGTGAAGTTTAATATGCTTAGATCGAAGTATAGATATACCCTGACACTACTTACACATTTTTACAATCTATGTATCTCTTTTTTCCTCTGTTGCTAAGCAGTGTTATTTAAACTTGGTTCCTTCGGTATGTTAATGTCTTTGGCGCAGCCCAAAGTAAACATCTGCTTTCAGAAGACAAGAATACATTTTTTGATTTATTCAGGTCCAAATTAGCCAGCTCAGGATCCCTTGTTTTTCTTTCTTTTTTTTTTTTTTTAAATACATTTTCTTCTCTCATGCATTGTGTATCATTTTTCTTTATAAATCCTTCCCTGAATAACTGTCCGAGCAGTTGTATCCCGAAACAATCGAGCGAATGGAAATTGTAACTACGTAAACACAAATCTTCATAAGAATATACATCCCCAAGAAAAGGTGTTGTACATTAAAAAAGATTAGACATTCTCTCTGTAAAATTCGATAAAATATTCATACAGCTGGCGCAGAAGAGAAAGTTTTTATGCTTCAGTGAAGTTCCCCCGAGGGTGAAAGCTTTTTATAGTTTATTTTGTGAATAGAAAATATGCGTTTGCGAGCTTCAGGGGCACGAATGTTTTAAACATACCGGAAGTGGGGAAAAATATTTTAACAGACATACTGTAACAACTTAGTTTTGGACGCAGAGAAATTCCGCAGTTTACAGAGTACAAGTCTTGGAAGTGAAAATTAGAGTTCGCAATTAGGTGATAATGACCTAGTGGGGCGGGGGCATTTTCTTCAATTGTTCATACTTGTTATTAAGGGTGCCCTCTTGCTTCGTCCTGATTGGCTAAGCCGAGACCTCCCTTGAGAGAACAGCTCAGCTCTGTCCAATAGCAATGCGGCAGAAAGATCGCGGTTGGACGGCTCTCCTTGTGTTTTTGTTTGTATTTGCCTCTTTTCAGCTGACATAATGCGCATAAAAGAAAAAAGAGCACACGAACCCTTAAAATACGGCACGCGCCACACAAATTAGCCATAGTTGATACAGTGACAGTAGTCAAAGACCTCGTGCACTTTTAAGATTCGCGTGCGGCTTTAATACGCAGAAAGCCATCTAGAACGTTTGATCGGAGTGGTCAGAAAACTGACGAGGAAATTCTCCTAAACATTCCGTTTCGAATCCTTGGCAGTCCTGACAGCGCGATTAACAAGATTCTAATATAACTGTATTGAAGGTCATCTTGAAAATGCCTCGATCATTTCTTGTTAAACTGAAAAAGAGTAGTCCAAGCGGTTTTTGCTGGGATGAAGGTGAGTTCTATTTTTGCAGAGACAATTTCACGCGCACCAATTGGTAATTTGAAAGCTGCGAACGTTTTTCGGTTCTGAAGAGATTTTCTGGCAAACCAAACATCGAAACGTTTAGGTTTCTCTGATTCAAAATTGCCACACCTCATTAAATATTCATCATCGAGCAAATAGAGACAGCAAATTCTAAAACTGCTCTTTCGCTCCGATTACTCAGCAGGTTGTGATGTACCGACAGCTCCGCCTAACATGTGGGAACCAATCCGCGTTGAAATCGAACCAGCACAGATTTTTCAACCGATCAAGTTGGACCTCGCTACTCTCGACCCAGAGATTTTAACTGAAAAAGGGCAGCTGAAACCCAAGGCAAGATTTTTCAGTCCATTTACTTTCACTTCCTTCCATTTAAATGCTGAGCATCGCAGTATTGGAGTTGGCAAGCCGCTGTACTCCAAGGATGAGCCCTGTTCTTACGACTCAAGGAACACCAGCCCCCAAAACCTAGACGGTGCCCTTGTACCATCGCCGACTCGAAGCGACGATGGCTACCCGAGCGCGGGAATCTTTATTCCCGGAAGTGGTTTTCTTGGGCTAGAGAACACCAAACCTTCTCTTCCCGCGGCTGGCTCTGCCTCCAGTGCTGTTGGCCGGAAACGTCGTAATGGCACTCCGAAGACCTTTACCTGCGAAGTTTGCGGCAAAGTTTTCAACGCACATTATAATCTGACCCGGCACATGCCAGTGCATACCGGCGCCCGTCCATTTAAGTGTAAAATCTGCGGCAAGGGATTCAGACAAGCGAGCACTTTATGCCGCCATAAGATCATCCATACAAAGGAGAAACCTCACAAGTGCAACATCTGTGGGAAGGCGTTTAACAGATCCTCGACGTTGAACACTCACATCCGAATCCACGCTGGTTACAAACCATTTGTGTGCGATATTTGCGGCAAGGGTTTTCATCAGAAGGGCAATTATAAAAATCACAGACTCACTCACACTGGTGAGAAACCCTTCAAGTGTCACATCTGCGGCAAGGCTTTCCACCAAGTGTACAATCTGACATTTCACATGCACACGCATAATGACAAGAAACCATTTACATGCAAGGAATGCGGCAAGGGATTCTGCCGGAATTTTGACCTTAAAAAACATATCCGCAAATTACACGAGAACAAAGAGCAACGTGACAGAGTTGGACAATAAACCACGCGCTCTCTGTTGTGCTGTTGAAATGGCGAAGAAAAGAAGCTGGCACTTCGTAACGCGTGTAATTCATTGGCTTGCGTTATGTGTTAAGTCTCAAAGAGTTTTACTAAAAGACTGGTGCATAGTGACTTTTAACAATAATAGACTGTAATTCAAGATAGTTGAAGGCCACGTGAATGTTAACCGATGTTACGCATAACGGAGCACACGTGGAAGAACAATAGAAAGTTGTAAACTATAAGTTAAGAATATGTACATTGGAGAAGCAATACCTGTGAATATATAAATATGTTAAAATATTGGTTTACATACGAATATTCAAGGCAACATCGCTATAAAAAACGTTAACGTAACCGTGTGTAAATATTATTATACAATCGAGGTTTGACTAAGCAATAAAATTGTACAGATTTATCTTACCCAAACCTTTTTGTTTTCTCTATGGGGTTGTTTGTAAAGGGAAGAAGCCAATTTCTGTGCTTAAACATATGTAATATTCATTTAAAACGCTCACTTCGCAGTTTGAAAAATATTTAAATTGAAAGAACTCAATACAGCAAGGTTGTTTTACAAATTGCTTTTGTCGGAAAAGTCTAAGACAAACATCATTTAAAAACCTGCTAGCCTTCGCTGTTGTTTGTTTGAAATGGAGAATTAAGTTGAATCGCTTCAAAGTGCAACTAACACAATATTTTCACCTGTTCACTTTGGTCTAACCTTTCGTACATTCTAGTTGAATTACATTTAAGTTATTGATTTATGAAAGAAAATAATTTTAGAGATTGGCGTGGAAAGCTTTTGCGCAGTTGATCAAAATTTATGGCCGTCGATTAAACCACGAAACAACCGAGACAATTCCTGAGTTCTACCTTACTTCTCAAATTAAAATATTTTGTGAGAATGTAAAGGAAAACCAGAATATTCCATTACAGTGTTTTAAAGATTAAAACTTTTCACTTCAGTCTACGCTTTGCGTATGTTAGAGGCCCGATTCAAGATTTGAGTCGCCTAATGTCGTGCATCTTCAAATTAATACCTAAATCTTTCATGTTTTTAAATTTGCTATCACTGTAATCTTCTTCTAGAATTATCCAATTTTCTCTTTCGCTTTAGTTCTTCGCCTTCGGTGTGTGTTTGCCGCTTTAGTTCTTCGCCTTTGGTGTGTGTTTCCCGCGGTAAATTGTGATCTTATGACTTACTTCTGTTCCAGGGCCGACGCGTCAAAGGGATACGTAGAAGTTGGAAAAGCACAGGGACGGTGACGGGTTAATTTGAAAAATGCCGTTGGAAAATGGTATTCAACCTTAATTGTGAAATATTTCCTGCAGCTCTTCGTTCATTTGTCTCATCAACTTCCCTTCCTCTGAAAATATGACGTTTGGAGCGTTAGCCCTTCGTCGGAGCCGCTCCAAACGTCAGCTTTTGTAATCGTTACGGTGGCCAATTTACCATTTCAACTTTGTTGATATATCCAAATTATTTCGTTATTCCCACCGACGCAGCCCCAAACAGTTTCTTTCGAAACCATCAGCCTTTATTCATTTGAAAATATGACAGTGTTTTCATGATAGTTCTTCTTAAGCCTACACCGGTTATTAGTACCTGTATCGCAGAAGTTCCGTCTTTATGACAACAGTTTCCATTATTTCTCTTTTTCATGTTACAAATAATTTTGTAGTTTATCTCAATTTTAACTCTTGCCCTTTGTCAGTGCAACTTGTCCCTCGTGGGGAAAAAAACGGATCTAGTTCCAGTATCTAACTCGGTGACGAGAAACGAACTAGTATTTTTCCACATTGAGAGTAATGCTTAAGTTTGTAAAGAACAACACTTTTGAAACCAAACTTGGATAACCATTCGATATGCACTACACTCCTCGACTACCATATTCCCGCTACATAAGTTGGCAATTAGGTTAGCTGGCATTTTCCCTATATCGCATCGCCCGAGTTGAAACTCGCTGCACTCGCTCGCAAATTTCTTGATCTTAAAACGAGTGTCGAGTTTTACATGGTATTGCATTGGTTCTAATTAAACGCGAGGCCACACCACTACGTGATTGGTGAATTATTGGCCAATCAGAAACAAAGCTGGAACCACTCGTCACTTGGTTAACGGCGTTTTCCCACGCAAACCGTCATTTTCAGGTGCCTATTTCGAGCTCTCATTGGTTCCTCAAGACACTCACTCGAAAAGCGGGAAAAGAAACTACTCGCGTAAAGAGAAAGGCAAGCCAAGTTGTAAAATAAGCTTTAATGTCAAGTCCAGCTGACTGATGCCACAAACAAGAGTACAGCTATTGATTTTTTTTTTCCATGAAAATACCACTTTCCAGGCATTATTCAAACTTGTTACAAATGCAAAGAATTACGTAGTTCACTCATTATCATAGTACACATCCAGTCAATTCTCCTCATTAAACACATGCACTTTGGTTTTAATCCTGAGTTGTATTCACACGTTTTTGGTCAAGTACAGTAAAATGATTTTCGATTTCCATTTAAGCAGCTTGCTGCTTCTGGAGTCGTTTCTTCTTCAAGCTCTCGGGTTCCTCAGGGGGTGGGGGACGGGGGAGACGGAAGAACACTTTCACTGAATCGTAGATGAACCACTGCAGAGCCGTCAGGGTACCAATCATGATGATACGTGGGCCCAGACCCTTCCACAGACCTGTGGCAACGGAAAAAAAAGACAACAAAATTTACATCAACATTCCTTCGGATGACGCAAGAAAGGGTCGAATTTATTGATTTTGCTACACTCCACGCCGTGATTGGTCGAGAAAACTCACGCCACCTTCCTCTTAACCAATCACAAACCGAACCAAAACTTGGCAACGCGCGTTTTCCCGCGCTTAGGCTAATATCGACGGTACTCACATTTACTCTGAGTTCTCATTGGCTGCTTGAGATATATTTTACTTCGCTCTGATTTGTTTTTGCGATTAGTTAGCTTTTGGCTTTACGAAACCTAATTAGAAAATAAAAATTCTTACCTTTCATCCCCAGCTCACGCGCAGCTTGGATGGGCGTACTTCCGACATCATTGTTCAACTTGGACACCACGGTATCAGCAGGGTGAGATACAAAAGCGCAGAAAACACCAGCTGACGAAATAACAAGCCAGCAACATCATTAGAACAAAACAAAAAGCTAAGAACACACAATTTCAAGTACCAAACAGTAACATTTAGTGTAAAGACGGTTAAATAAACTTGAATGTCACGCCTAGCGGGCATTTCTTAAGTCCCACAAGAGCATGCTCACAAGAAACTATGCTAATGTTAGTTCTAAGAGACCATGAAAAGTTTTGAAGTGTTTGTCTCTCACTCTAGAGTGGTTTGCAGAGATCAGGGGTTTAATTCTTTTGGCCATAATCTCGGATGGACTCTAAATTTGGAGCAACACAAAATAAAAGCCAACTGTGTCTTCACCCATAGTAGAAGTAGTATCTTGGCCATTGCATTGCTTCTATACTTTGACCTCTTGGATTGGCTAACATGTAATTTCTCCTCAAAATACCAAAAGTGAAAGAGCTACGGTATTATCGAATTCACCCCACCCTTTATACAACAACACCCTCTGATCCACGAGAGCAACTAACATCCACTTTCTCCTCAATGTCAATGCTGAATCACTAATTAAGGTCTTTGAGAATACAGGAAATGATCACCAACGCTCCCTTGATTGTTCACCAAATTCTCCTAGTCAGAATCTTAGAGAATGTACAGAGAAGAGTATGGAAAATATGCATACTGATGTCAGGATGTAAAGTGTTGAACGTTGACAGGTATGGCCTGTGATCAATTTAAATTTTCTACATTCTGCTGACTAGTAAGTAAAACACTCACCAATGTACCCAGCAGCAAAGGTAACAACCAGTTGTTCAGGTTTGGAGCATTCACTCCTAATGAGAAAAAAAAAAGAATCCTCATATTCGGTGGGAAGAATCTGATGCAGTACCTCCTCAAACAGATGTTGTAGTTCAATTTTTATCCTTGGTTCAAATTTTATTTTCCTTTGTTTCAAACTCATTACCATACATTAACATGACCGAGAACAAAGGAAAATAAAATTTGAACCAAGGATAAAATTGAACTACAACATAGACACCAGTGCATTCATTTAAAATTTCCAGATAATCTAGGTCCAACTGTGCCAGTTAACTGTCGGGAAGCTTAATTCATACCGTGCAAAGCAGACCATCTAGGGGGAAAAGGGAGACACTCTTGTCTCTTTATGGTACACCGGGACTGGTCAGCTCTCATGTTGTGGAGCACTCCACTGCTGCACAGGAAGTCAAAAGGCTTAAGTCCCAGACCACACCAACAATGAGGGTCTTAAATTATCCGAGAGTTTCTGTCCCTTTGCTACGACATCGCAAATGGACAAACACTGCGAAGGATCGTGCACATATATGAAACATTCTAGTCTTCAAGGATAAGGAAAACAGATTGAATCTTCTCTGTACTGGTTAGCAGGGGACCTTAAAGAACCTACACACTCATCACAAAGAGTAGGGAGCACGGCTCCCAATGTTATGGTCTGGCTTTGTTGTTGTTTGTACATGCCCCAATTCAACCCTTTCACTTCCAAGATCTTGATAATAATTCTCATTACTGTCTGCCATACAATTCTTATAATATTAGTTTGGTGAATGTAGACACAATGAAACCTTTGCTTCTTTTACTGATAGATATAATGACCATTTAGATTGGTGGTACTGCCTCCATAAACATATCAGTAAAATTGAAGAGCTCCCAAAAATATCTGTCGGCCAACTGTTGACCGACATAATAAAAACAAATTCAGAAATGGGTAAATAGACTGTCATCTTGGTAAGTTTGAACTTTGACAATTACCTCAATTACGTTTTCTGTCGACAGTCGGCCGACAGAAATTTTGGAGAGCTGTTCTTCAATTTTACCAACATATCTTTTTTTCTTTTTTTTTTTTCTCATAAGGAAACCTGCCTCATATGAGCCCAGTGGTTTCTGAAAGCCCCATTGCCATCAATTAAAATATCTTTTTAAACAAGCCTTGTTTATGAATGGCACATAAAATTTTTGTAGTGTATTGTATTGCATCCTACAATGTTTATCCATGAGAGCCGGTTACAAAATAATCATTTTTCAGCTAGGCTTACCTTGGCTTGGGTACAACATTTTTGTACAAAAATTCAACAGTTCGCTCAAAGCAAGCAAACTTCATCATGGTGTATGGGATCTGTCTCATCCACAGAGGAGGGAGGCCCTTGTAAAAGCTGATGACAAATGAAAAGGCCTCGTAAGAACACGGAAGTGAACAGCCTTCACTATCCAAGTGTAGTTCGTAGAGTACAAATAACATGCAAGATGAGTACAAATATCACATAACATTTGTACTCCAGAAATATCCGCTAAATTCCCTTGCACTGAAAAAACAATTTAGCATGTTTGAAAATAACAGTCTTTTTAGAAGTTTTGTTGTGTAGTATCACTGGGTCTTTTTGCTCAATGATTGCATTTTGGTGCCCTATGCGCTTGTCAAAATGTAGCACAACTCGTAAAAATATTCAGCAATAATACCCAACAAAATGTCTGATAACATATATTTCACAATTTTTCTTTGAAATCGAGGTGAATAGTGACTAAATATTCCCAAAAGCCACTATTCACCGAGATTGAAAAGAATAATTGTTTTAGTATATACACACGAAGTGATCTCGACAAAATTTAAAGGAAGCCATTTAAAGGCAATTTCTGCTTCTGAAACTTTCGTGAAACGCGAGTTTACGCCCACTATTTTGTTTTTCACATTATCCACTTGCTCAGAGGTGTACATTGTTGATTAGCCCAAGATAGCGAACCAATCAGATTGCTTGAAATGCCAAGATCACTGAGTATGTATATACTCATTATTATTATACCTAGGTCAGGAATTGTGGCACATTCTGTAGGCTAAAATAGATTTTAGCCAAATCAGTTTAGATCATACATTAATTATATTTTGTAATGACTACCCTGCATGTAATAATTAGTTTGAGTTCTGCACTTGAGACGGTAGTTTTCTGGACTGGATCATGGACCGTAGAGATGCAAAGTGAACTGTATGCAAACTTAGATAATCATTAAGCTGTCACCAACAGGAAATGGCAGGTGATCACTCAATACAAGTTGACTGCTTAATCCAAGTTCCGTGAAATAGGGGTATTTTAAAAACAACAATCAGAAATGCCAGTTTATGTCTTTATTGACCACCTAAGTGTACGAAAATTCAAGACGAACTACTAAAACCAATCACTTATTATTTAATACTGTGGCATTTAAAACAAGTTTAAATGTACCTCTGGATGCAGTTGTTCAGAGTTGGGTTAAGGTAACAAAGGGTTAGTGTCAAATCAGACTTAAGATCTGATAGCTTTTAAAGGAAATTCAGTACAACCATTGCTGTCTACAATTAATTGTGATGACTGGATGCCCTTCCATGAATAGAGAAAAAAATCCAAGAAAGGCTTTTAAACAAAGGGATAAAGAATCCCTGACTTAAATTTTACCTGGGTTAGCCCCAATCAGCCTTTGAACAACTGGGTCCTGACCCTCAATTAAAAATTGTTCTCTTCATCAGGGCTCAACACTAACTTTTCAACTTACCAGCTAAGTGGCTAGTGACAACTTAGATGTTAAAACAATTTCAGTTTATTTACTAGCCAAACTGGTCAGTGGAAATCAAAAAACCACAAGCCAAAACTGAATTTCTCTATGGCTAGTTGGCTACCATTTAGTGTTAAGCCTCATTTTTTACCCAAATTAAAAGCTTGTATGCGACAAAGTTACCCTGTCTGAAACAGTCCTAAGCAACATGCCATTACATTTATCTACCGACCCTCTGATGCCCTCCTCAGCCATCAGCTTGGGTGCTCCCTCTCGCAGGTTGTTGGCCCAGCCAGGCTGTGTTTGAATGCGCACCTTGACAGCCTCCATTGGAGCCAAAGCGATGTCAGCCAAGAACTCTGCACTAGCCGATGCAGCAAGGTACAGAGAGGTTCGGTAGAGGTACGAATTTTCCTATGGTAGAAGGAATAAATTAAAATTCTTTCCAAGCTATTTCAGTCTGTAAAACTCAGTTTTGGAGGTTTTTAAATATATGGCAGCACCCCTAATTGTTTTTCTCCCCGTCACAAGAAGTAAAAATTTTGATTCCTAAATCTGCTGTGAACATCACTAATATTGCAACACAAGATTTAGAAGAGCACTGTTGTTAAGATGTTGTAACATGCAGCATGCAGCATGCACCATCAAGTCTATTCTAGCAATTCTCAGATCTGGCATAAAAAACATTTTTCAGTTCATGCAGTTACCTCCCAAGCCTCCACTAGGATAGAAAAATTTTCTTAAATTAATTAACTTAATTTCTATTTCTATGTAACCTGCATTTTTCAAATTTTACATTGCAAGAGATGACTGTCAACAGTCAAACCAAAGCTTTAAAATCTCAACATTGTTGTTATCTTGATGTATCGCCAAATTCTGGTAACTAACTTACAAGGAAACAAGTTGCAGCTAGAGGAGAGAATTTACAATCTGATATTGAGAGTTAAAGAGGACAGAAATTGATAAAAAAAAAATGCAAATCTGCACTGATTTAACCATAGATGAAGCTTAAAAAGTTATAAATAAAGTAGCAATAAAAACAGGTTTCCCAACTTGTACCCTGACTATTTAAAAAAAAAAGGAAGAGGAAGGGGAAGGTTGCTTGTTTGATATAGCAGGGCTTGACAACAACTTTTCAACTTACTAGCCAAGTGGCCAGTGACAACTTACAGGGCTCAACACTAACTTTTTAACTTACTAGCCAAGTAGCTGGTGACATCTTAGATACTACTTAATGCTACTACAATGTCAGTTCATTTACTAACCCAACTGGCTCTAGTGGAAACCAAAAACCACTAGCCAAAACGGAATTTCTACTAGTCTGTGGCTAGTGGGCTACCATTAGTGTCAAGCCCTGAACTTAGATATTAAGACAATTTCAGTTTGTTTACTAGCTAAATTGGCTTGTGGAAATCGAAAACCACTTGAAAAAACATAATTCCTACTATTTTGTGACTAGTTGGTTACCGTTAGTGTCGAGCCCTATAAAGTGGTCTCAGGGATGAGTGTCTATTTGGGGTAGGAGGGTTCTTGGAGGAAATGCAGCAGCAGCTTACATGGAAATTGAATTTCTGCACATACCTCTCCAATCATGTTACTGTAAAGAATCTTAAACACTTCATAAAAGCCAAACTTGCACAGTCCCTGCATAGAATATCCAATGAGTGTGGGAGCCCAGCCCTTAGCAAGTCCTCGAGCACCATCTTCCTTTATTGTTAGTTTGAAGCCATTTACAATGTTTTTGTACTTAGCTGGGTCAACCTGAACAAATATGCAGAATAAATTTTTGAATAATAAGCTGAATTAAGCTCACATTTTGATTACTTTGTATTAGTGATCTGTTTGAGGAAAGATGCATAGATATAGCCATTAACAACTTTTGCTTCTTTATCATGTAAAACAAACAGATTCCATGCTGTGTCTTGTATGCCACTTTCTTGTTCTTGTCATCCATCATCTATAACTGGGCAGATGCAGGGCAACATTTTCTTTTTATTTTAATTTTGAGAGAACAAAGTATCAGAAAGCTTCATGCACAGTAATGTCTGCATCTTAAACAGAATTGGGGAAAATGTTAATTTCTCACAATTTTCATTGAGCTTTATCTTGGCCATCAGTGAATTATTTATCGTTAAAATAAAGCAGAACACATGCCATTTTCTTTAATTTCATATCTCACACTTCTAAGTCTATAAAGTGACCTTGTTTATGTCTTAACCAATACCTGAAAAGCAGAGGTTTCAATAACTTTTTCCATAACGGGCCGCCTATCATGCAGGGTGGCAGCTATGAAATTAAGCTGCCGGCTGAAATTTCAAGTGAGGAGGTTCAAAGATGGTGAACAATTATATGTGTGTAACCTTGGAATTGCCCCTTGTGCTTTACTGTGCAATCACCAGCCAAAATCAGGCCGGCCATCACCGCTTTTTCATTCTGTGAATTTCACTGGAAGCTGCTGCTTAGCGACAACCTTGATCATGTAATAGGTGGTTGTGCCTGGAAAGGGGCTGTTACCTGGATTCTGCATTTGACCAAATCGAGAGGCACAACAGCTGTGTGTGTGATACCACAACTGAGAATTCCACCAAATCCACAATAAGCATAGTATGTTGCACTTCCAAACTCACAACTGTAGGACTCTAAATTGACCAAGTGGAGAATATACAAATTATTCTATGCAAGATAACTAGTAGTCAGCCTTGATAAGCAGATCTGAAAAAGTCATGATGTTAAACAATAACCTGCCCTAAACACTAGAAGAAGAAAGAAATTTTTGATCAGCAGACATAAGTACTGTTGAGTATGAACATTTTGTTAATTTTTTTGGGACTAGTTTTGTTTTGCATCAAGAATGTCAGCCTCAGAAACTTCTGGCATATTTTTACACCTAATTCAAACAAACAATATGAATGGAGCAAAATACTACTTGTGAATAATCACAATGTGGTAGTAATAGCACTGATGATCACTGAAAATAAGCTGCAAATTGGAATTTAGCGAGGGAAATATTGAAGTTAACAGATTGGCTTAAAAAGAACACAAAGTTGTACAAAGTCCCAAAATTTGCAGTTAAATAGGTTACATGCAAACTAAAAACTAGAGGCAAAGTCCATGGGTAATATCACATAACTGGAAAATGAACTTAAATAGATGAACTATGTCAAACTTGCACCAACATAATTCTTCCTCTTTCTTGCGTAATTTTGTATCGTGCAAACGTAATTAAATTTCACCATACACACACACACAAACATATGCTCGTTATTTTTGTTAGGACATTTTGAGGGTCATTTTCAACTGGACTTATTCCCAAGAATGGCCAGAATATTGTCACAATATTGAGAATAAAGGGTTAAATATTAAAATACTACATAAATGAACTTCATTTATGTTAAAAAGTGCTGTGATCGCCCAAGCTTAATATCTAACGAGTGAAAAACTCATGAAACACAAAGGTATTTACCGGTTCGCTCAGTGAAAAGTACATCAAACAAGTTAGAAATGCTATAAAATCTAAAGTGCAGGTAGTGTAAGAGAAATCGAGACACAAACACGAGATCCTTAATCAAAAAAGCCGGCTTCTAACATACCGGTATTGGGTGCCGCCATGATCCGGCTTCGCCTGGGCGCAGGAGTTGATTCTGATGAGCATTGTGCCACACTGAACGGGTTCGACAAGGGACTGTTCTTTGCTGTTTCAGAAAATCTCGAGAACATTTTGTCCTTTTCTAGTAAGAACGACACAAATCAGTTAATATTTTGCTTCACCTATCACGAGGTTCTTGAACCTCGTTCGAACTCCACGTTAAAGAGGAAGCCGTGATGAACTATGGGAGATACGTAACACACGCTAATTATTGAGTGCACGCATAAATCAATTTGGTGGAAGCCGCAAAGGCTTATGTTTGTAGGCTCAGACAATGCCATGTGGAGCTCAGTAAGCAAGTGACATTTGACAGTAACTAAACTAATTACCTAATGGCCCTCGAAGTAAATACAAGTAAATATCAAAAACTGACCCACAGTCTAGCAAACATAATTTATATAAAAAGGATATAAAAACTACTAGATATTAATAAAAGACTGAGTAAAAAATTGATTTTTAAAAATTGATTTATAGAGTGACCATTTAAAATGTTTTGCGCTAGGACTACGTTTAAGATCTACATTTAGCTTGTTCCATTCTTGGATTGCTCTTACGGAGAATGTCCGGCCACCTTCCGTACATCTCCTGTGGCGAGGACAACTTAAATCTAGATTACAGAATCTGTTTTTTTTTTTTTATGGATGTCAGAGTTTTTGATTAGTAAGTCATTTATATATTCTGGAGTATTACTATTAAGTCTTTTGTAGGTTAAGGTACAACGATTTACATCTGACTCGGCATAGAAAGGAATCCAGTTTAAAGTATTGAATAAATGAACAGAAGCTTGATCGACCGCCTACACAACAGGGACCAACAAGCAATATGAAGAAAGAGTATGAAGAGTTTTTTTTTCCATTCTTGCTTACGATTAAGATTTGATTAAGATCTGATTTAGAGAACTTGTAAAGGTATGGATGACCCCAAGACCTTGTGTACTCTTTACTGCTCATTGGTCCATTCAAATTTGGAATATTGTTCAGTGGTGTGGCCCCCCCCCCAAAAAAAAGGAGAAATATTGATAAGTTGGAAGGAGTACAGAGAAGAGCAACTAAACTTATCTTGAAAAGTGATGATCCCTATGACATTCACTT